TTATATTAATTAATTAGTATTAAAAATAAAATTAGAATTAAATTTTTAAAGTTAAAATTAAAATTAAAAATTTTATTTTACATTTTTAATTCTGATTATTTATATTACTTTTAATACTTTTTTTATATTTTATTATTTATAAAAGTATTATAAATTTGAATAAAAATTTTTTGTTTTATGAAATAGTACTAAATAAATTTAAATATTTTAATATATTCAAAATTAATTATTTAATCATTATAATAAAATATTAAATTTATATTAATTAGAATTTATTATGTAAAATTTTATTATTCAGAATTATATATATTAGGATTATAAATCAGATTTTTTAGTAGAATTATAATAAACTAATATTTTAAAAATTAACTTATATATTTATTTCATATTTAAATAAAATTAATTATATAAATAGATATGTAAAACTAATATATATTATATATATTTATTATTTTAATTTATTATATCTATTTAATATATTTATTATACTAATTATATTAATTATAAAAATATTAGAAATATTAAATATATTAAATTATAAATTATTTATATTATATATATTTATCTATTTATAATATAATAAATTAATTTAATATTATTTATTAATTATAAAATTACATATTAATTAATATATTATTTTATTAATATTAAATTATATTTTAATAAATTATTATAATTTTTTTTAATAAAAAATTTTTATTATATTTATTTTTTTATATATCTAAAATTAAAAAACTTATAAAATTTAAATAATAAATAATTAATTTATTAAAAATTTAATTAAATATTAAAAAAACTTAAGAAGTATTTTTATATAAAAATTTATTATTTAAAATATTATAAATAAATACAAAAAAATATAGATTAATAACTTAAGTGATAGACTACCTATTTTAACTTTATAAAATACTAGAATATTAATTAAAATTATCTTAATAAATTAACTAAAAGCTTATTAAACCTTTATAAATTTTAGCTAACAATTAAGATTAATACAATTTTATAAAAAAAGATTACTACAATCACCTAAAGTAATAGAAAATTATTTTTATAAAGATAAAGGTAGATCTTTAATATAGATTAAAAGATCAATAATTGATGAAAAATATTTTCAATTACTTAACAATTATCTTTATCTTTTACTGAAATAAAATGAAAATAAATATATATTTTAGAATGATAATATTTTAATTTACATAGCAAAAATTAAAGATGTTCTTCATAATCATTTTTAAATTTCAATTGAGTTGCAATTTAATTGCATTATAAGGAAATTTAATTACGTCACAAGTTGCAATTCAATTACGCCATTTTTTTAATTGTAATATTTATTTTTAGTAAGATAGTATAACTTAAAAATATATATTAGATAATTAATTTTTCTGATAAATTTAAAGTTTAGATTTAAATTTTATTAAAATATTTAAAAAGAAAGATCTGAATGTATAAATCTTTATTAAATAACAAAAATATATATATATATATTTTAAAATATTAGTTATATAAACTTAAATCTAAAAAATTAATAATTTAGTAAATAATATATCAAAAAAAGGATTATAAAAGTAATAATTAGTTAAGGTTATTTAATAAAATATTAAATTTTTATTATTTATATTTTAAATAAAAAAATATTTTATGTAACTTTATTAGCAAAATTTTAAGAATGATTGTCTAAAACTGCTATATAATATGGGTTATTTGCAATAGAAAAAAGGAAACTACCAAAAAATATTTTTTGAGTTAATGTTTAAGTTTAAACTTATTTTACAAAAAAAAAAATAATATTTAGCTTATAAAATAAAAAATATTTTTTTTGGTAGTTTTTTTCCTTTTCATTACAAAGAACCTATATAGTCAAATAAAATATTTAGATAGTTTTATTCTTATAATATATAACCTGATTTTAATTAACTTAATTTATTTTATAATAGATTTAAGTAAAATAAAATCAATCTAATTCAAAAACCAGCTTATGTAAATTTTTATTTTTAAAAATATATAAATTTTCAGTTTTAATTTATTTTAAAAAAATATAATATTGCTAATAATCTAAAAAAAATCTTAGATTTTATAATATATAGATATCTAAAAAATATGAATATTATAAAAATTTTAAACTGTTTAATTTATATTAAACTTTTTTTTATACATACTATTTTATTTGATAATATTTGAAACTGAAGAAGTATTTTATAATAATAAAAAAAAAATATTTAACTTTAGATCAAATAAAAATCTAAAAAGTAAGATTTTATTAAAACTATTATTGATTATTTATTTATTTAATCATATATTTGAGATATTAAAAAGGAAATTAGTATTTTACATAACATTTGAATAAGCTAAATATTAAAAGTAATTTGTTATATTAAAGACTTTGATTTATAAATAAAAGAATTGATAAAGAATTTGACAAACTGCCTATTATTAATGTAACATTATATTGATCTTTAAGAGAGAGAAAGAGAGAAGAGAATAGATTAATGTGCGAAACTATTTATTTTGTTATTTTTTTTAATTTATACTATTGTTATCTTATTTTTTTACTTTTTTTAATGATGTTTAGATATTGTTACTAAGTAAATAAAAAAATTAGATGATATGGAAATTGAAGTTCATTTTTTAAGATAATCCTTCTGAAACCGTTAACATCAAGGGATGCACTTTCCGGATTACAATTCCTTTAAAACGAAAAAAAATAAAGATTCAATGAATTTTATGTCTAAATTTATTAAATACAAATAATGTTGCGATTAATCTTATATAACCTTGTAGGTATAATACTCATATCATTGTGTAAATGATACTAAACAGGGGATAAATATTATTTTAATTGTCAAATATACGTCGAAAATTTACATGGTTAAAGGTTCGGTATGGGTCCAAAGTTTTTGTATGATTTCAGAAAATATTTCAGTCAAATGTCATTCGAAATGTCCAAAAATTATATATTAATTAAAAAGAAGGTTTTATCTATGGGACCTTTGCAAAAAAAATCAATTTTGATTTTATATGGCAAATATGATTTTTCCCGGCAGTTCCTCCCTTTCTATTGCAAAGATCACTAATTATTTTGAATCTTTATGTGAGTGATATATATACTAAACCATTGACAAAATATTTTTAGAGATAACTATAACAATCAATCTAATTCAAAAATAGCAAATGGATTTTATTTCTAATATAACTTTCTAGCATATTTGATTTGTGTAATTCACGAGATACTTTATTGATGTTTCAATACTTTATTTATACTATGTTAACAAAAGAATTTGGCTGTTTATTTTATTTACATTCTTAAAAAACATTTTAATCAAAATGTTAAATTGCGTTGATAATAAGACTGAACACGAAAATCATAAAACAAATAAAATAATATACACTATATCACACTTGATTTGATGGCATCATTATTTAAAAAGGTCGTGTCCCATTTCGTTGACAAATGACGATTGTAACGCGCCGGATTTTCCATAATCGGCTAATGAAACTTTTGGAACGAAGCGGTCCCAAAGAAGTTTTCGTCATTGGTAATTTGAAATTCAAATAATTTTGAACTTCAACTAGATTGTTTGTATTTTTTTTTTTTTTATTTTTTTTTTATTTTATTTTTTGACCTTTTTAATCATTTATTTTTTTTTGGTTATAAGAAATCATTTTATTTTGTTTTTAAAAACTTTGTCTTGATATTCTTTCTTCATCAAGAGAATTTCGAGAATTTTAGATATTCAACCGGCTGAATGTACTATTTTAGAAAATTGTTTTAATTGGGAAAGTTCAAGTTGTAAAAAATATAAACATATGTATCATGATTACAAAAAAGGAAAAAGAAACAAATAAATCCATATTCCGAATCTCCTTGTGTTATTTATATAGATTAATGAATTATTACGAGGGATGGATTGTTTCACTACTGATTAGTTTACATATTTTTGTTATATTTTATTCGTTAAACAGTCCGCCCAAGTTGTGCGATGTGAAAAAAATTATTTTATGCACCGTTTCCCGTGAAAAATCAAAAATTTCAAAGATGTTTTTGTAGTCAGTCACAGAATCGATTAATCAATAAAATTTGCAAACCCTTTGAAACTTTTCATAAAAAAAAACTACTTCACACGGTGATTTTACCAAAAGAAGCAATAAATTTAAATACATGCAAATCGATGTAGTTTTGGAATGAAGTACTAATTATAGTCAATGGTTAGAGAATTCGGACTGAGGACGTTTCAAATTGGTACACTCCGATATATCAAAGATCTTTCTTAACATTATCTCGAAAATCTTTTTTTAATTTTATGCATTTCGATGCAATTCGCGACATTAGATCTCGCCTATTCTTGAAACAAAATCATGATCGTAATCATGATTGTAAATCGTCATAATAAATTTTATAAGCGCTTAATAATCGCTGAATAAATAAACAAAATAAAATTTAAAATCATGTCATGCGAAAACTTTGTGAGAAACGTTTTTTGATCACCGATCAATAAATAGACAATGTAAAGAATTTTTTAATTTAATGACATGTAAATCGAAAAATTATTTCTGTAATGTTATTTTTTTAAATGTCATACAAGAAAAATTATATTTTTTTTGATTTGTGTGACAGAACAATGTTTATGGAAATATCATAGACATTATAGACATTATATCAAATATACAACGAATTTTTTAACTTGTACAATATATGAAAAAAAATAACAAGTTTAATTACATAAATTACTATTTGGTTAAAACAAAGAACATGATAATGCAATACATGTAATTTACTCAACAGATCTATTTAACCTTATTTTTTTTTGGATTTTAATTAAAAAAAATATATAAGTGGAGACAAATGTTCAAATTTTAGTTCTCATTTTGCCAAATAATTTTTGTTTTTGAAAGTTAAAAGGCATACATTGTACACAATCATTTTTTTTTCTTCCTGTCTTTTATGACTTATTCATTCTTTAAACATTCATTTCATTCCTTTGTAGCTTTGTTTCCAAAACAAGATGGGTAACAGAATTTCTTATAACAAATTTAACAAGAATAAAAATAACAAAAACCATGATGATTCTGGTAGTAGCGGCAGGAGTAGTATCAATGATGAATCATATCAATATGTTAATGGAAGAAGATATTTAAAGGATTGTAACAGTTATATGCTACCGAATGATGAAGAAGAAATTGATAGGTTACAATCACAGCATTATTTACATTGGCAAATATGGAGATCAAATTTCTCGTCCCCAATTGAAACAATCTTGAAATTAGGTGGGGTTGAGGTACTTGATGTCGGATGTGGGTCAGGATTATGGTCGTTGGAGATGGCTGCACTCTACCCTTTATCCAACTTCACAGGGATAGATATCGCGCCTCAATATCCAATGGACACCCATCCCTTGAACACAACGTTTGAATCAGTTGACATTACACGAGGTTTACCCTATCCGGATCATAGATTCGATTTTATTCACGTTAAAGTTTTATTATCCTATATACCTGAAAAACAAATGAAATTGGTAATCAATGAATTAATGAGAGTTTTAAAACCCGGTGGATGGTTAGAAATTATGGATTATGGTGATATCATTAATCCCGGTCCCGCTTTTACAACCTTTTATAACGCATGTAAGTCATCTATATACGACTTTTGTAACAAAATTTCTCTTCCTTGAATCATTAATTATATATATTTATATATATCTAAATTTTTTTTTTTTTTTTAGTTGTAGCGTTATGGAGTCAACGCAGTATCAACGTTTATTTGTGCAGGGAGTTGGAAAAACTTTTACCTAAATACGGATTGGTTGATGTTCACTTTGAAGAAAAGGTAACAATGTTCGGAAAGAAAGGTGGACCTGTTGGCGTAAGCAGCGTTGAAGATTGGGAAACCGTTTTTTTAATATTTCAAAAGTTGCTTTTAGAATTTTCATGCATGGATTCCGAATCTTACTGTAAATTGATACAAGATTTTAAAGAGGAAGTAGATGAATATGAGTCCGCGTTTAAATTATTCAGATTCTACGGACGAAAACCTCAAACAAAATTCCTTTTATAATTAATTAATTGATCTTGGGATCAAAATGTAAAATTGTAAAAAAAAAAAAAAAAAAAAAAAAAAAAAAAAGAAAAAAAAATTACACTTTATATATCTCACTCCTCAAACTCGTTTTGTGACAAAGAAAATATATACATATGTATTCAGAGTTTTCGTTCTTCGCTATACATTCGTATTTATATTTTTTTTTCAATTTTTTTTTTTTTGGTGAATATTTCAAATCCCCCATTTTAAACGATTTTTTATAAATTCATTCGTTTATTTTTTTTGAAACACCTCTTTTTATATATTGTATACTTCTATGGATTATAAGTGTTTATTTATATTATACATAAAAATTAAGAATAAAATAAAGATTATGTGGCGGTGGTTTATGTATGTAGCCTGCCGTTTATTAAAGTAACAAAAATGTTCATGATAAAAAGATTGAAAAAAAAGAAAAAAGATTACAAAATTATTTCTATCTACAAAAAAACAAAAAAAAAAAAAATTACATATTTTGGTAAATAAATGTTTTATATGTAGTCATGTTCATTTTCATATTTAGCGATTTCTTTTTTACAATTTCCATCGTCATGAATGTGAAAACCAAATTTAGCTCTGTTTTGATCACAAGTCCTGCCTTCTTTGGCAGCAAAATAAGTGAGCAAGGCTTGATCTTGACGATGATTTTGCCTGCTGCTTCCGGGAGGGGCAATACAATCTTTATCTAAAGCGCATTGATACCAGGCATCAATTAATGATTGAGTACGTTTAGTATCAAATGCTATAGCCGCACCGTTACAATTTGGTAAATCATCGTATTTCGTATGATCATCGTGAAAATATTCGTAAACTCCTTTATGGGTCCAGGTTCTCATGGTACCAGGTGATTTTGGTGAAACGAATCCATCATATTCTTTTAAAGTTCCGACAAGGTTATTGAAGAAGGATTTCTTAACTTTAGTTCCACTATCCAGCCAAATTATATTGCCAGGATATTCATTTGATATTTCATAAATCATTCCAGGTTTCCAAGCGTATTCTCCTCTTGCTATCGATATATTCCAAAATTTAGGATATTTGGACCAATCTAACCTTTTTAATTCCGTTATGAAACCTTTCTTTTGAAGACCACCAAGGATTTCTATTTGTGCGCTGGATAACCCTAAATCATATACAACTACTTTTGCATTCTTGAATCCTTTTATGGTTTCATGCGTCGTGTAAAGAAAACTTTTTAAAGGGCAAAAATGATTTTCACTGGCTCCCGTTACAATTGTGAACGGGACATCCTTTGGAGATGATATCACTTGCTCTTCTTCTTCGTTTATTATGTCATGATCGTCGTGTGAAGAAGTATCGTTTTTGACGTTCTCATCTTCAATGACGAGAGATGGATTATCATCTATAATATTCGAGTCATTGTTGGTCGGTGAATTGTCATTTGTAATGCCACTATTATCACCATCCAATCCTAAAATTTTTTGAATTAAATAAATAAATGAGTAAGATAAAATATAATAACGAATAAAAAAAAAAGAATTATAACGAAAAAAATTTTTTTTTTTTTTTTTTGAATAAAATACGTTACCTTTACTTTTAAAAGGATCCCATTCGGGATTAATATGAAGGCAAATTTTTGTCATCAATAGAATTATTATAAATACTACTACAAAAATTTGAGTTCTATGCAAAAATTTCTTTCGAACTAAATTTGACCCCTTAGCCATCTTGAAACAATAAAAAACTAAAAATATTTAAGAGATTTCTTCTCTTTTTTCTTTTTAAGGAAGGTCAATATTTGAAGAAGGGGGAATGAAAAAAAAATTAAAAATAAAGAAAACGAACAATTCAAATATTTTTTTTTTTTAAAAAAAGGAAACGGATGAAATTTTTTTTTTTCTCTTTTTTATCGAATAATATTATTCTATTTAAAGAAGATTTCTATTATAGAGTGACAAATAAGTAATGCTTTCTATATTAAGGTTGACAAAAAGAGAGATTGGTAAATATTTTTAGACTATGACTATCTATATAAATTAATTTTCTTAAAAAAGTAAAATATGTTGACAAGGGATTACTGCGGAACATGAGATTTCATACAACTCCGAAAACTGAGTCTTGTCAAACATATCTCTGTTGACCCCATATAAATAAGACAAACATAACTAAGAGGTTCCTTTGGGGAAATTTTTTTTTTTTTTTAAAAAAAGAAAGATTAGAATCATCAGGGTATTACGAATTGACAAATCTTTTCAGTTTTGGTAATTTGGATGCATATTTTATATTACAAAGAGTATAGGAATTCCCGGATCTGCATCACATGACAAGTTATTTTGTTAGGGTATTATTTTTTTTTGGTATTGAAGATTATTACGTTATTTTTTTCTCGTGGGACCGGGTACTATTTATTGATGTTATTGATGAATGGATTGATTAATGTTTATGATACGAATTTGAATGTCGTGGATTTTATTGGATTTTAAATTTGTGTAAGGTCTTACCAATCAAATATAACCAATAAAGGAAACAATATTTAGGTCCTTTACAATCAGGAAAAAACAAATCAGCATATTGTCAAATCAAAGACGAACAAATCGAGTTACAATAAAATAGATTCAAAAGATTAAGATTTTTAAAATTTAATTGTCAAAATGTTTCAAGTGCATTCTAGCCTTATTTAAATAATAAAGGGACTTTTTAAGAAAAACAATTATCGATTCCAAAATCTGTGCATAAAGAAAAAGAATTCTTTACTGTTTTAATTTAATCTATGTTTCTTCAGAAATGAATTTGTGATCAAAAAATTTGTTTTTATGGGAAAATCTAAGTAAAAGTGAATAAAGTTTGGACACAATTTCTAGATTCCCTACTAACAAGCGCCCAATATGTTGTGCTTACACATCTAGTAGTGTGGACAATTTGTACGTATCACATGACTTGAAATTGCGATACATGTGAACAAATCTGCATGAAAGTATTCCTCAAAGGTTAATTCTTCCAAAAATATAAAATAATAATGATATCTGAAAATTAATTTTCTTCCCTCATTGACAAATTTCTACACAGGGTAAAATTTTTTTTTTTTTTTCCTGATTATCAATCAATTTCTCCTGAATTTTTATAGTTAATTAATTCCTTATTTAAAGCAATATGAGATCAATTGTAAATGATTAAAATGGAACGTTAGACATGGAGGTCGAATTTTTTTTAAGGATGAATTTTGACAATTCAGGTCCAACGTAAATTTCAATGAAAGTTTTTTTTTTTTTTTAAAAAAAAAAAAAATAAAAAGTTAGTCAAAATATTTTATGGTGGTAAGTTCATATTTTTTTTTCTAATAAAAAATGCTATTCTCAATATGGTATGCATAGAATGTATGCACAAAAAAAAAAAAAATAAATAAATTTCTTAGTTCAAAAATTAGTACTTAAATACTTGAACTTTTTTTTTTTACATCATGTATTACGATTTAATATTAAATTTTAAAAACTTACATTCTTATTATACATATAAAAACTATAATTCTCTATATTTAAATTACAAGTATACTTTTTTTTTTCATAGTCTATACAAAAAAAAATATATATATTTTTTTAATAACCCTAACCGAAATCTTCATTAACAAAATTACCTTCAATTAATAAATCAGAATGCTGACGAAAGTCAAAAATAAATTCGGAGGGTATGCCTTCTAAAAAGAAGCAACCGTCGGCTTTATCATACATTTGATCAAATATTAAAGGAAAATTAGGTTTAATAAAAGTCCAATTCATCACATTGAGATCCGAATTTACAAATCCGGGATCCATTACATATCTCTCTTCACACGGATCCTTATGTTTTAAATGTTGTAGTTGACATTCTATTGATGAGACCTTTAATTGTCCACTAGCGTGATATTGGTTTTGTTGCCATCGTGCATTTAATATATACGACTGAGATTGTAACTGTTGCGTTGATTCATGATAATAAATATTATGATTACTACTACTTTGAATGTATGGGTTAACATTTGATACTTTATTATCATTATCATTGTTATATCGTTCATAAGACGATTCGAATAATTCGTCGTTTGAATATATTTGTTCCTGATTCGAATTGTTAAACGTTGGCTGTGTATTAAAATTATTTGATCGTTCATGACAAAATGTCAATGATTCGTTATTATATTGATACTGTTCCATTATAGTCAATGACAAATCATGATCATTTCCATTTACGCTTTCATAGCATTCATCTGGAGTATCTTCCGTTGGAAATATCGGACTAGAAGGTAAAGAAGAATTTGTGGTAAATTGAAATGAATGGTTTGTCGCAGTTGGAGTATGGATTGGAGATAAGGAAGTTGAGGAACAAGGGGAAAATGAAGTCTCACAAGATAAGGGAGATTGTACATATAAGAATGGGGATGTAGGGGGTGTCGAAACTTGATTCTGTTGTTGTTGGGAGTATAAACTTAATTGTTTGTTAAAAGTCTCATCATCGTTATGATTATTATTAAGCGTAGTTTGAATTAATACAAAATCCTTGACATCATCAGGATATTCATTACAAAAATAGGAATCATTAGAAGGGGAAAAATCGAGTTCATTATTCATTTTATTTTTGCTTTAATTTTTTTTTTTTTTTTTTTTTTTCTTATTTTTATTTTGTTAATAATAACTTAAATTCTTAAAAGAATAAAAGTGAGGCTTCTACTTTAATAAATGTAAAAATATATTTATTCTATTTTTTTTAATTAAAAAGGGCTATAAAAAAAGATTTGGTTTTTGCGAAAGAAATAATTTTTTTTTTTTTTTATTCATTTAATGTTCTTTAAAAGAAAGAGAGAGACCAACCACACGAATTCCCAAACTTCTTTTTAGAGAACAATGCATTTAATCTTTATTTAGCTGTAGATTACAAATATTTTTATACATTGAAAAAGGCTCGGTTGCACATTTTGTTCTATAAATGTCAAGCCCTCATTTGTGAGCTCACTCCTTAAATGATTGGCGTTACATTATGAAGGGAAACTTTTGCCCAAACAATAGACATTTTAAGATTCAAAAGGATTCATAATTTCAGCCATCAATCAAATCATTACCTATTTTAATGATGGTCAGATGTATTTCAAGTAATGGATATTACTGCGACATTTTAAATTTCCTTTCTCTTATAACATTTTATGCACCTAATATTCCCTGATTTCGTTCCTTTCATTTAAATGATGAATAAGTAATGAAGTCAATGATATAATTTACCTTTCATCATAAATATTCGTCTAACGCGGAAAATTGAATGAAAATGGATAATGCAATGTAACACATATCCGATTCGATTGGTTATCATTTAGAATGCGTGACACATCTTTGCCTTATTTCAACGAAAAATTCGAGAATTAATTTGGTGTGACCGAAGTCCATGTTACTTTTTCCGCAAACGTTTCTTTTCTTTATGTAGAAATGAAAAAGTTCGTTAACCCACGAGGAACAATCATTCTGCCATTTCAATTCTTTTCATTGACTTTCTAAATATAAACAATCGACCTTTAGAACTTGGAATCGGGAAGTGGTATAAATATAACCTTAAAACAAATTACGGAATTCAAAATAAAAATCACCCAATTATTAGATTTTATATTAAAACTATAAGGTCCTTGCTATCATGAAGCTGAAGTTTATGACCCGACAATTTCTTTTTAATTTATTAGAATGATTTTGAGTTTAAAATCCTAGATATTAATAATCCTATTTTAACAATTATTTTAAAGTTGAAAAATTCTGCGAGAATTAAAAAAAAAAATACTATATCATAAAATTTGTATGAAAAGTTGACCTCTTTTAATATACTAACTTAATTCCAAAGTGGTTAAAATAATCCGTTTTCTTTTTTATAAAAAAATAAAATAAAATTAACAAATAAAGCTTATGTGCTTTGTATGCAGTGATTATTATTATTATTAGTTCGTATTCCATTAACATTATTGACAACATTTTGTTTATAGTATGCATGTAGGCTACACGAATTTCTCAAATCGCATTAAAGTAAGAATTAAAGATATTAAAAGCAAATTCTTTAACTAGAAATACACATATTACATAAGACATTTTTTTATTAATTTAAATTTATCATTAAAAATTTATTATTATATACAGAGATAATGATAATTAAAGATATGCAATAATACAAAATAGAATGCTAGAAATTTTAAAAGAATCTAAAATGTTAGTTTTTTATAATTTATTATTAAATTTTTTGATAATTCATCACTTACTTTAAAACTAAAATAGATTTTTAAATTAAATAAGCTTTTATATTAATAATATACAGTATTTATTTGCTGGTAATACTATAACAAATTTAAAACTAAAGAACTTATTCATATTTAAGTAATAGTAATAATAAGAATCAGTTTTATAACATTAAAATATAAAAGCTTTGTGTTAAAAGATCTAAAAATAAATTTTTGTTTATTCCTTTTATTAAAATAAATTCAGATTCTATATTAACTCAAAAGAATTTTTAAAATATTAAATCTTTTTTATTATAAAATACTTATATTTACATAATTAAAATTTAATGATTTAAAGTTTTTTATAGATTGATTAAAAAAAAAAAAAAATTTTAAGAAATTTTATTATTGTTTATTTATTATTATAAATAAAATAAAATTGTTTTTATTTGTATTTTAAAAAAATAGATAAATAAATACTGATTTAATAAATAAATATAGATTATTTTAATAATATAAAAATTAATAATATAAATAAATAATTTTTTTTAAATTAAAATTGAGTTTCATAAAACAGATATATATTAGATAAATTAATTAATATTTATTAATTACTTAATATTATAATTAATAAATAGTTTAAAAAATTTATAAAAAACTAACATATTTAGAAAACTAAAAGTATTATAAAATAACTACTACAAAAATTTTATTATATATAATTTATTTATAAGTTAAATAGTAATCTTTGATAAAATTATTTCAAGTTTTTTAAAATATATAAAATATTATTCTTTAAACAAATTTGATAAATTGATCATATTATAGATATATTAATAATAATAATAATAATAATAATAATAAAAGTAATATTAATAAAAGTATTTATTTAATAATAAAATAATGATAATATTAATTTTAATAATAAAAATAATAATAATAATAATATAAATTAAAAAGATAATAATAGTAATTGAAAATATTACATAAATATAGATTAAAAGATAAAAAATAACTGAAATAATCAAACTATTTAAATAATTTTATTAAATAAAATATAAATATAGCTAAACTTTTTTAAGCAATTATTTATAAAATAATAATTTTAAGTATTTTATTATTAAAAGTATTTATTTAAAACTAAAAATAATAGAAGTGATCATTTTTAATAAATATTTAATTTTAAAAAAAATAATTTATAAGTATTTATCTTTTAAATAATAATATAAATTATTTATAAAATATTGATTAAGAAATGAAAACTATTGTTAAATTTTAACTAATATTTATACTGATATTTATTTTATTTAAACTTTTATATAATTTCAAAAATCAATTAATTATTAAGTAAGTAAATATCAAAACATTTATATAAAGATATATAGTTTTTCACTTTGTTTTAAATTAAAAAATTATAAGATTTTAATATATAGTAACTATAAAAAAATAAATAAATTTATTATATTTAAATATATTTAATAATAATATTTTAAAAATTTAAAAATTAATAATATCAATATACAATACTTATAATTAAAAATTATCTTTATAATTATTTTCAAATTATAAATGAGTTATAACTTAATTTACCATAAGAAAATTTAATTGCATCACAAGTTACAACTCAATTATATTATTTTTTAATTACAGTATCATCTTTATTTATAATAAATCATTGATTATATAATGTTAATAAATTTTAGTAAATTTAAATTACTTAATTATTATTATAGTAAAATTAATAAAACTTTTATTGAATAATAAAAACTTCACTTATTTATTAATATTTTATTAGATGATTTTTACTTTTTATAATAATAGTAACTCAACAAGAAATACTATTACAGTCAACTCTTTCTATAACGAATTTTGATATAACGAATTTTACAATACAACGGATTTTCAGTGTCAGACAGATTTTTAAATATAAAAAAACCC